AGATTAATGCAGAACACCATGAAATTCCAAAAGGTTCACATACTTTTTCTTGCAACTGTATTTAGCAACAAATGCTTTCAAAGTACAAGTTTTCTTCATAAATTTTAATTAAATTTACATTTTCAGTTAATGACACACTAAGCTATGAGAAATGCTCAGTCCAGCAATAAAATCCTATTTGATAGTGCTGTTGTTTCACCTTAACTATTTAAGGGAGGAGATTTACTCAGGAAAAAGGGATTTCCCAGATTATAAATAAAGATCAGGTACTAAACAAAGAAATGTCAAGTGGTTTTATTACAGTTATGCTAAACATTGCAAAAAACAGCATTAAGTGAACATTAAAACAAGGTAATGGAGTGCCAGTAAGAGAGAGAAAAAACAAAAACAAAACAGCTGTGTATGTGAAGTACTGTAAAGGCAATTCAAATGGAACAAACTAGAGGAGGTTTCAGTTTCAGTTTAATATGGAAAGTATACTATCGTAGAGGAATTCAAGTACTGACAAACTAACTACTACTTTGGAAAACTGCACAGCAGTATAAAATACTGATATCTTATAAATGTATTCCTCTTTGCAAGAATATATTAAAATATTCTTCACAGCAATAATGTTTTAATAATTCAGGATTAAAACAAGAAACAGTATTGGAACTTGAAGGCAGAAATGCAAGTAGTATTGAGAATGAACTGTTCAAAATGCTTAATGTGAAAAAATAAACCAAGCATTCGTTACAGGTTAATCCACACTTCGTTAGGAGCCAGAGGTTTCTCTAGTACTGTATGAAGCCTTTACAATTACAGCATACTCCTCACTTAAGGGCTGAGGTATATTTTGCCCATCTGTTCTTGAGGAAAAAATAGAATGGATTATGTATTGGTAAAATGTTTGATGGGTAACAATATATGCATAAACAGCTTGTAAAACCTGTGGAATGAATATTCTTGGTTGTTTCAGGCTGATAATTCTTTTTCTGAAGACAGGCATACACACCCAGAGATTGCAAAAGAAATCTCTGTACGTGTTAGGGTCAAGTTTCCTGGCTGTAGGTATAACCTCTATGAGAAATCCAATATATGATCAAAACTAATATGATAATGCTGTCCCCTTCATTCTTTTTTAAACTAGTATAATTAGTGTTTTTGTAGCTGAAGATTCCACTGAATTGCAGGAAACGTCTTCTCCTATCCTCCTCAAAGGGAAAGGCAGCTTTGTGAGAATAGTTAACTGATCCCAAGTTCCAGGCTTTATAGAAAACGGCTATATAAAACATATTCCTTAATGATCTAGCTATATGGCACTAGAGAATGAGGCTTAGCTTTTTTCTTAATAGAACCGCTTAATGATAAAGACAATTATTTTCCAGATTAAATTTATATGCCAACATAGTCTTGATCAAGTATATTTAAATGATTTAATTAACATATTACAAATATATAGCTATCTTCCCAATACTTTCTTCCTTAAAATGGAAACATTGTATTATTTTTAAATAAACTTGGTTTCTTAAATTTGTGGCACCAAGCTCAATAAACTAGCTGTATCAAGTATTAAAGCTTCTGAATTAGACTAAAGTAAAGGCATTTTGTAAATAGAGAAAACATTCAACAAAATTTCCTCATTATGGAAGACTATGGAAAATATGGAGTTATGAAAGAAACATTTATGATACACTTTATGCAATGAATTAGTTCTCATCTTACAAAGATGGCATATCAATATCGCTACCCTAAACACATTTGCTAGGACAGAAATTCCAATGGAATTTAAAGTGTGCTCAGAATGAGTCCTAAACTCTGTAAAATGGCCTTGAAACCACACAGTACATCACAGACTTGTTAACATAATAGAATGCATCTTAACACCATAAAACTTAAGCCCTTTGTTAAATTATTAATCTAAACATTACGAATCCTGTATAGCTAATTACAGCAAACAATATGATTTTTTTCAAGATTACCTTTTATTAATACCAAACAATGAAAAAGGGAAGAAAATGTATTAATCCAAAATTCTACCCTAGGCATACCTTAAAGTCTGAAATAAAATCGAATTTTGTTCCACTAAACTGCTGATAGTAGCAATTTGTGTTGAATATTAAGAGAGGGTACTATTAGAAGAAAACTGCTCTATCTCAGGCTTCACTTGATGGGATTTTGCTGCATTAAATTAGAAGTTTTGATCCTAACTTCAAATACTTGTGGATTATGCGCCTATTCATTTGCATTAATACTAAAATCACACTTTCTAATCTTAACTAGAAGTTACATTAAATAGCACTGAATCAGCTTATATGAACACAGCAATCCATAGAATGAGAAGACTGATCAAAACATATGCTGTTAAATTTTGACAAGCGTTCAATGTTACATCCAAATTTGCAAAGAGACAAAATTATACAAAGAAGACTTCTTGCCTGAATATGTATCTTGAACTTGATAAAAAGAAATGGATGCAGTTAGTCAGGGAAACCCCAAAAGAAGAAACTACAAATGATAAAAAGTCATACAGAACTCCCCTGACCAGCAAGTTCCATTTTTAAGGCAATTTTCGTTCATTCTAACCAGACCGTATTATAAAAAAATAAATGCCACTTCAAAACATTATGTACATAATGACAAATTTATCCAGAAATCATATTTAGTAAATTAATAAAGTGTCACAAATTATCATACAGAGGTTACTTCAGGTGCTTGAGTGTGCAATTAGAATTATTCTTCATCTTTAAAGTACAGGCTTCAAGACTGAACGCAACGACCGTCCTTCTTTTGTTAGTTCTCTTGTGACACACATACACGGCAGTGGCACAGCTTCCTCGCGTTTCTCTATAGCATTGTAACTGCATTTCTTCAAATGATCAGCCATGCTTACAATGTCAGCAAATTTCCATTCATTTACAGTACAAAAAGCTGTGCTGAATCGCCATACCTAAAAAATAAATTTCTCTTAGCATCAGGATATATTTATTAGGTCTCACTCACGTGCAAGTCATGTAGAACTGGCATTTAACAGCACAAATGTTAAGCGCACCACAGAATAGATTTTTTAAAGGAATCTTCAGTCTATATGGTTTACTGCAAACACCTTTTCCTATGAATGATAATGAACAAAAACATGCTACAAATTTTAGTATGAGCATTTTTAAAAAAAACTGCAAACTGATATAGAAATGTGATGAAATACACTTACGTGTATTCATTCAGAAAATGATTCAGACATATTAGAAGACAAATTGACCTGTCTTTTCAAATTTCCATTTGATTCCAGGGTTTTCCCTTTTTTAAGGCATGCATTTTGCTTGCTTTTATTCTTTTGATTAACTTAGCCATAATTAGCTTATCTGGTACTGAAAATCTGGATAGGGATAACAGCTAGTGAATATTTCAGGGCAGATACTTGTATACCCATCGCAAAAAGTTTAATTCTTTCTTATATTTATTATTATATGAATTGTATCTTATATAGTTATACTGTTCTCCAAGTTGTTTCTATTTTACTGCTCCCATATTCTAGACACCTGCCTCACACATGGCACCTGAGAGAGGAGTGTTGGGAGGACTCAATCTTTATACAAAGACAATTCCAATTCTTCCTTCCAGAGGTAAAGCAGGTTCTCACAATGTACAATTAAATATACAAACCTTTTCCTTTATTTGCCACGAAAAACTTCCATCAGGATATATCCTCTTTTCCCACAACAGGATGACCATTCCACGTGCCTGAAGTAAGCTTCCGCATACATCTCTCATTAGCCGTGACACTTGTGAAAGCTGACATAGACTAAAGCCATCTAGAAAACCTGCAATGTGTTGTAGAACCTCAAAAGGAAGATTACTCAGATTGTCACTATGCAGCCCTAAGCAGCATCTCTTATCAGGTTCTGACAACACAGTAGATATAGAAGGCTGAACCCCAAAGGACCGAAGATGCCGATCATGAATAATCTTTGCTCCTTGTGTTGAAGGACAGAATCGGCGTTGAGAATATGTACATCCATAATAAGCCAAAGGACATCGCTGCTCCATCCAGCCATTTAGGCCAGCATGAATATCACCATGTACATTCTTAAAATGTGAGGAAAATTCATTTCGTCTAAACAACTGTCCACAAACAAATGTAAACATTGAACGCTTTGTTTGGTATCTAGCAACACATTCTAGTACCAAGTCTAGCCCAAGAGTCTGAAAAGGGCTTGGATTTGAGAGCTGTGGATTTGCGTGATCGCACGCAGATGCTGAAGCAATTTCCCCTACCATTGTATTTGTGGCCAGAATTGCAGAAGGGAGAGAAAAGGTCTGAGTCCCAAAATCAACATGGTATCCATCAATAATACGACTATCTGATATTCCCCTACCACCAGGAGAGTCTCCAAGACAAAACAATAATGCCGCTGTGATTAAGTCTATTCCCTGAAGCCCCATGGGATCCTCTGTTATTTCCAAGTCTGATGTATCTACTGCTTTGTCTTCCTTTGATGCAGATAAGCAGTAATTTGCTAGGTATTTGTAGGTATGGTGAGGAATTAAAGAAAAGACATCAATATTTCTGAGTTTTTCTTGCTCTATTTCTCTCTCTAATAGCTCTTCATTATAGTCATGTGACATATATATAGGATTAACGGTGCCATTAGACAAACCGTACAGAGGTATTTCATCTTCAACTTGTGCTGCTACAGGAACTGAGTTGCAAACACTTGGTGCTTTATCACAGGGAGATGCACTGTAAATACTATTTGCTACATTAAACTGGCTGGAATTACATATATTTAGTTCTTCCTTCAGTTGCAGTTTCTCTGGGCTTGTATCATCTAGATGAAAGCCATTACATAGAGAGGTATTGTCAAGGCTCATATTCAGTTTGTAGTGTTTTGTAGTATCATAACAAATGTCACTTGACCCATTTTGCTCTAATTGTCCATTTTGATTCAAAACATCCAACTTAATACCACCAACTGCTCCCATGCTATTGTCCTCTAGAGAGTCATGCTCTACCACGGCTTGCATGCTGCCATGACAAATTTGTTCTTTTACATGAAAATCTGCATTTGTTTTACATGGTAAGATACTGAGTTTTGAACTTAACATGCTGGTAGCAGTGTTTAGAATATCTAGAGCTGTAGCTAAGCTTTTGGTTGTTTCCACAGTGGCTTGATAAAGTGCACCAAATGACTCTTCATCTACAGGTAATAATCCATTTGAAACTGTAGCATCTGAGGCAGTTGCAACAGAAGATTGTTCTCTGGGTTTTAACACTGGGTCAGGAGTTTTTGATGTCATAGTTGCAACTTTGAGAGATTCAAGAAGCATTCGCTGATCTTGAAGGGCAAGAGCCATATCTAACTGTTCAATTTCATCAACATCTTTACTTAGATTCTCATAAGATTTTCGATCTGCATAACTGACTGGCCATCTATTCCATTCCATAGTGCAGCATACAACACTTGCAGGACAAGTTTCTAGATGTTCAGCAATTTTGTTTCGGGTTATAGTAAATGGACAGCCAAAGCCACTGTTGAGACAAGGCACTCTTTCAAGTGGACATAAAAGACGATGCTCTTCAGCTTTACATAAATGAAATACTGCTCCACAAACCATAGGGCAACCAATTAAGTCACAGGAAACGCCAGCTTCTGATCTGATCATACAACGTCGACTAATACAGTTCACACAATGTAAATGCTGAAGTTCTTCCATGATGGCAAATTCAGTTCTAGGTACAGAAAACAAGACAAACCAGAGAAGATATCAAGGCTTTAAGTTAATAGCACAGTTGGAACAAAATACTTCTGTAAGGAAATAAAAGAACAGCTAACATGTTCAAAATTAGAAGAAGAAAATTCTGAATACATCTTCTTATTTTAAAAATTAAAAACCACACTTTTATTCCCCCCCCAAAGGAAATTTAGGACTGTATGCAGAAAATTAAATTATGCAATACAATGAAAACAACAATAAATGAAATAATAAAACAGTAAGGCCAAAAGGAAGGAAAGACAGAGTACAATTTTGGTGCCAGATGTACTCATCTGGGAAAGTAAGCATGTTGGAGCTCACAATAGAGAAGGTCCTTTAAATTGTCAAAATTAATAGTTTTTACTATACACTTAATTGCTCATTTCTTTATACATATTAAGTTGGAAAACTTATATTTAGCAATTTATAGCATTGTAGGACAAGAGCTATGGTAGCAAGAAACCTCCCAGGACACTATAGCAGACCTCAAACTGACTATTTTGGAAAAATGAGACTTAGGTTCTGCCTTTGAGCAAGGGATGAACATAAAAAATATTTTAAAAATATTTTTAAAAACATTAAAAAATACATAAAGTTTCAGGCAATCTCAAAAGGTTTCAACAAACATAATGAGTTTCTAACAAAAATTACAACTTTCAATTGATAAGATACTTTTAATCTGTTTCATATGTAACTTGCATCCACATAACCAACCTGTTTTCGTTTCCCTTCCCCAGCCTCACTCCAATTTAAATCCTACATCAGTTTAGCCACTCTATAGATCTGATGAATTGAGCAATAAATTATCTTAGGCGAAAAAGCTGCTATTCAGACGTCTTCCAATTTATAGCAATATAAATTGCTATATAAATATAAAAACTTTATAGCTATGTAGAATCACATTGTGGAAATTTTTCATGTGCTATGGTAAACTACAGAGATCTATTGGGCTTATAACTTACTCAGGATTCAACATAGATGTAATACTACTGAATAATACATTAATACATTAAACATTTCAGGTCTGTTTTGTTTTTTGGGGCCTTTGAGTCAGTGCTGACTCCTGGCAATTATCTGAAGAAGCCCATGCAGTTTTCTTGGCAAGATTTTTGGAAGAGGTTTGTCACTGCCTTCTTCCTAGGGCTGACAGAGTGACTGGCCTCAAGTTACCCAGCTGGCTTCATTCCTAAGGCAGGACTAGAACTCACTGTCTCCTGGTTTTTAATCTGGTGCCTTCAACCACTACCCCATTAATTACTACACCAAACTGGTTCTCTTTAGGTTAAATACAATCATCTATAAAATCAATCACAGCACAGAAGCAGAATACAGCCTACAACATAATTGTAAGTACCGTCAAATTTTCTTTAAATAGTCCTACAGAAAATTGCATGTTGTTTTTATTTTTAAATGTACATTGTATTATCATATCTAATTTCAAAGTAATCACCAACCTGGAGGCCAATCTTATCTCAAAATCAAATTAATACATTTCTGAACTTACTTTTCTTCAGATGAGCTCAAAGTTGGCACAGGAGAAAGACCAACCCCTGCTGACGCTGTGAACATAACGATAAAGTTATTTTTCCTGTGGTACCTATTGCCAAAAGAGATTTTGATCAATCACCAACTAACTTCAAACATATACATTTTCTTTGTTCTGTATTTACTTACACATGTTATAGTTATAGTTCAAAGGTATACTAGTATATATGCTTTGATCATGTGGAATGATAGTTCTGTATGGATTGGATATTATTACCACAGTGAATCTGGTTCAGGAAAAAAGTTAAGTTTAAAAGATATTACTGTGTTGCTAAATTATATTCCCCAAATTTGGAACTTGTCCATATAATGAAGAGTTCTGGATATACTGCACCTGGACAATTGCAAAAAAAAAAAAAAGTGATTATATATTCCTGAAAGGACACTTGTGTATCAGATTCTAAAGGATGGCTTAACTAAGCCGTCGCGGCGGCTCTTTAGTGATCAAAGGGATAAACTGAACAATGTGATTCTATGTGGTAAACATTTAACTTTTTGTTTAAAAATTGAGTTTGAATTATTTTTATATAGATGTAATTATTATAGGCATTTTGTAGAAATATACACCAAACTACTTTTTTGGCTTTCTCTTTGTATTCATGTTAGACTGTTAATTTGTTTGCATTTTTATATTTCATTTTGTCTGATGTGAACAGTTTGGGATTTTTTACTATCATTTATACTTTTAAGAAAATTAATAACATTATTGAAAATGATGCAGTTACAGCAAACTAAGTTTTCAAGAAAATAAAAGAAGTTGGCAACTGGTGGCTCATGCCACATGCAGCCCTCAGATCATTGCCATTGGATTTTAATGACAAAATATTAAAACAACAGCAGCAGCAGCAGCAACACCTGTGACATGATTTGGAGCCTTTATTCCAAACCATGAAGAATAAATGCAGGACTTAACACATTTATTTTCTCTCAGAACTGTTCCTCCAAACCCTAAAAACTGATGCCATATGACAACGATACGATGCAATTATATTGAGATCACAATAAAATACCCATAGTTGAAAAAAATTGGCCTCCAGAATTCTGAAATTAAAGAGTCATGCAAATATTTAAGATTCAGAGTAGGCAAATCACCCCTTTTGCTAAGTCTTAGCAAACAGGTCTTTGACTTAGTTCTATGTTATCAATGTCCTTTACATGACAAGATATCAGTGTTAAATCTTCCGCTATATCTAACCTGATTTAGCCAGTTAGTATTTAAGAGCCAAGCAGATTTATAAATAATCATCCCGTGGGACTAGAATAATGGAAGCTTGCCCAGAACAATGGCTGGTGAACATTGTGTCTCTGAGCTGTGAACAGTTTAAAATTTTAGCAACTCCAGTAAATTCTCCTACACGCTGGCCTGAGTCATGATGCTAAGGGACAAAGTTGTTTGTTTTGTGGCACAGCAGGATATGTGAACCTTCATATTACGGCTTCACATTATGTTTGAATAAGGCCACTAGTTCAATTAAACAAACCATCATTTAAAAATCCTAACTTAGGGTTGTGTAAATGCTATCATTTCTTTACCATAGACACCAAAAGCAGGCAACTCTAAAACAGTATTTTCTCCTTATATTTTCTTATTTACGATTTGCTTAGCAATTTTTCATCCTATTTCTAGTTTCTTGTTCCTACCAAAACCACAATAAGGGATTGACAGTTTAAAAAGTCGTATGGACTACTGACTTAATTACTTTGAGATAGAAAAGCATTAGAAGAGTATGTTTAAAAGTTTAGTCCCTTACCAAAAGTGTTGGATTTATTTACATATAAGAAGGCCTTTGTGGTCATGCAAGTAGAAAAGAACAGTTGTAGTTTTCAACTGTCATATAATTCAATGATATACTCTGCTCAGAGTTGTTGTAGAGTTGGGGAGCCTTTTATATTTCTAAAATAAAATAAATACAGGTAGTCCCTGGGTTAAGTGCCCAGTTTATGGACGACCTGTAGTTAAGAACAGAGCCTACTGTAGCAAAATTCAAGTTAAATGCACAATGATTCAAGTTAAATACACATTCGTTCAAGTGTATTACACAATATTACTTATACAGTATTATCCAATAATACTGTTCCGGCTTACATACAAATCCAACTTAAGGATAGACCTTGGGAATGGAACTCATTCTGAAACTGGAGACTACCTGTACTAAAATAAACTTACTGATAAATCAGTTTAAGCTTCCTGATTATACAACAAAATCTAGAATACAGACAAAATGTTGAAGTACAAAATGTTTTTTTAGCTCCCTCTAGTTTCCAATTAACAAATAAATGCCTATTATTCAAAAAGGAGTCTGGTAGCACCTTTTCAAACTAACAATTTTATTAAAAGGCATAGCTTTCATGCACCTGCATCTGATGAAATCAGCTGCAGCTCACAAAAGTTTATGCCTTTTAATAAAATTTGTTACTAGAATAGGCACTACTAGACTCCTTCTGATTTTTTGGCCCCCATAGACTAACGTGGCTCTCTTCCTACAGCATTAGCATCCAAAGATTTGAATAGCCTCATCAGAAAAGAAACAATTTGTCAAGTTTTGCAATGAGAAGCACCTGGTGCAATATGTTTCTATAAAGGCACTAGAGACAAATCACTTTAATGACTTGAATCTGTCCTACACTACTTCCTAAAGTGAAAAGGGGGCATTTTCATGTTAAGCACCTCAAAATAAGTAAAAATTTAAATATCAAGGGCAAGGCCCACCAACAAAAATTTATCACATTAGGAGTATACGCACTGCATATATTGTACAATACCAATTTCAGGTAGGAATGTTTGCAACACCAGGGAAAAGTCATAAAGAATTAAGCTTTAATTAAGCCACTGAAATGGTGAAATCTCATGGTGAGATCTAGGGGGACATGAGATATTCTTTGAAAAATCCCTATAATAATGGTACCAGATGGAAACTGTGATTATGGAGCTGCATCCACTCCTTAACATTTATAAATCCCATTTGGAAAGCTATTATTTATGCTGCTATGCTATATGGTTTCACGTACAAATGCAGACAGGCTGAATATGTGATCACGAATAGCAACAATAGTTGGATAAAATTCTGTTTGAATTATTACCACGTTAGTATCTCCTCCCTTCCCTTCTTGCTTAGATCTACATACATGGAGCTATTTTATTTTGAGATTACACTATGATTTTTTAAACAAATGCTTTAACATACAAAGAAAAAAAAAGGAAAGAACCCCCCCGCCAAGAAAAAAGGAAATAAAAACATTACATGTAGAAAAACATCCACCCCAGCTTTTAAACATGTCATTAAAATCTAACCATTTATAAATTTATGGATATTAGATTGAACAGACTAATATTTAACTTATGACTCTTCACCCACCTCCAACATAGTGAGGTTGATAACCATTTTTAAATATTCTTTGGAATGTCTAGTAAACATGAAAGAAAATCTTCTGTTAAATTATTCTCATCTTTAATTTAATATACTTTAAGACTCACTAATTTGTTTATGTAGGGTATTCCAACTCTTTCAGAGTTCTTGCAAATAATATCTAGTTTATCAATAATTTTCCACTGTTTATTTTAAAAACTATTTTAGTAATAATCTTCCATTGTTTATTTGTTTAAACAAAATTCAATTTTACAGTGGGGTCCAGATGCATCAGCAGCATCTAAAATTCCAATACTGAATTATTGTCAGCACTGGAAAGTGTGATTCAATGTTTATATAATAAGTGGCTCACTTAAGTCTGTCCAATGAACTTTATGTCTTTTCCCATCAAAGTCCAATATGCTACATACTAGAAATATGTAGTGATCCAGATTCAAAAGCAAAAAGGTTAGAATGGGAGGAGAATATTCCCATTGCATGTGTTGGAAATTCCCTAATGAAGCTAATTTTTAATTAAAAACTGATTAACACCTAAATAACTAAGTAACTAGTGCAAATAAAAAATGTAAAGAACCAAATAATATCTTAAGATTATGATAAATCAAAAGAAGCTGAATTATTATTGGTTTGTTGTATGATATGTTTTGGGCTTAGATGCTACTGCCCATGCTTCCTATACTGCAGCAACTCTAACTTAAGCAAGACAATTCACATTTGGAGAGTAAGGGTAAGCCATAATTATAAACTATGGTTTGGAATTCTTGCTTAAATGACATAAATCATAGCTGGTTTCAAGAAACATCATAACTGCAGATTCAGAAATAACCCAACACTTTCCGGTGAAAAGAAATGTATACTTTATGGGGAGGAAGTTTGAACACACATTGAACACTGTTGTTAAATATGAATTAAACTACCAAGAATTGGACATTGCTTTCTGGCATCCTGCATAAAAGCCTAATATAACAATACACATGGTTTTTATAAATCCCATAATACAATATTCCAAGGATTTTTTTTCATATTTAAGTATTATATTTTCCACAGAAACCAAATGCTGCATAAATATGTATACATACATGAATCTGTTCTCTGAAAAGTCATGAGAAATCCTGAAAGAGAAAAAACAGTCAACAGTTAACAGTCAATGGAAGGTACATTTCTAGAAGACTCCTACATATTACTGAAATTTGTTACAGAGCCTCAGTTCATGCTGATTCATAATTCACATATCAATGAAACTTAAGACCCATATCTTACTCATAAACAGTCCATTGCAAAAAAAAAAAAAATGAAGTATACCAACTGAATTCTTTTAACCAATAGGAGTAGCCTAAATACTAAACTTTTGAAACATATGAATAAGCATCAACTAATTTTATGCACTAATTGCTATTACATAGATAATCTAATCTATGGAAGCTATTATTCAACAATTTCTGTATTTAAAAAAAAAGAGAGGTAAAAAATCTCCTAAATGACCAAGTCGCACTTATCACTTTGTTTTGAATCCGCACCAAAGCTTTCAGTGAATAATAAACACCTCCTTTTGTCTGATAATTTAATACTTCATATTAGGATTTGGCAGCTGTAATTTATGCTAACGTAATTTTTTTTCCCCTTGAAATACTGAATTCTTTTTCTCACAATGTTGAAAATGTTGAAACTTTATATCAAAATAGTCCAACTATTAGAAATGCTTCACTCTATTTCAATACATCTGGGTTTGGATATTCATAGAATCAAAGTGTTTGAATAATCCATTTAGGCCACTGTCCAGTCTACTTCTTTGTGCAAGAATCAAAATTAAAGCATCTATAACAGATGGCTCTCCAGCCTTTCAACACATCCAGTGAAGAGGAACTGATCACATCTCTGGGTAACTGATTCAATTATTTAAATATATTCAACCTCAACCTTAACCTGCCCTCTTGTACATTCAATCCATTTCAGATACCCAAATAATGCAATTTCATCTCTCCCCCCCCCCAAAACACTTTTTTGACATTACTTATTCCTTCGCTCTTACTGCATAGGTCCTTGTGTTTTCAAATTTCATGATCATCCTCACTGGCATTTTCTGAATGTGTTCCAGTCTGTCTGAATCCTTTTTAAAATATCATGCCGAGAATTGAACCTAACACTTGAGGTAGAGTTCAGTCAATGGAAAATAAGCTAAAAGGATAGTTTTCCTTAAGTCAAGTATAATCCTGGCAATTATATGGGCATTTCCAAGTTGTTTCTTGGCAACAATACAGAAGCACCTGGCCTTGACCTTTTTCTGGGATATTTTATAATGTCCCAGTCTACTCTTTTGTCCTGGGGATTTCCTGGTAATGTCCCATCCAAGCACTCTGCTTGGCTCTTCCTGGATTTGCTAAAGATGGTTAAATGCTGCCATTCATTGTGGACAGTTCTCATGATTTGGAAACTTCTGTTGATGCAGTCTGAAAGAACATTTGCCTCTTTTCCAATTGTAGTGCTGACTCACATTCAGTTTGTATTCAAGTACCATTCCAATATCTTTCTCACAAATACTTTTGCCAAATCAGGTATACCTGTGGATTTCATATCTGTTAAATATTCTTACAGTAGAAAATTGACTTGACTTGAGAGCCACTTTGGTATAGTGGTTAACATAACAGGCTAGAAACTGGGAGACTGAGTTCTAGTCCCACCTTAGGCACAAAGCCAGCTGGGTGACCTTGGGCCAGTCACTCTCTCTCAGCCCTAGGAAAGAGGCAAACCACTTCTGAAATCTTGCCAAGAAAAGTGCAGGAACCAGTCCTGGCAGTCGCCAGGAGTCCACACTGACTTGAAGGCACAAAAAGAAAAAGAAACAATCGACTTACCAGATTACAACCTTCCAATAATTAATACAGCAGTGGAACTTTTTTGTATAGCCTCCATTCCTATTATATTTAGATGGCGACACAGCTAAAACACTACAAAGATACAGAATCATATACTGAAGTAAAACCATAAAGCAAATGTCTGGAATGTCAGAAGATGAAAAAATTGTTTTCCTCTTAATTTCTTAAATTGTAAAGACATGAAACAATTCCTTTTCTCTCTTAATTTAACTGCAATCAAGTGAAACAAAACAAATATGACTAAAGCTGTCACCTAAGACAGTAACCTTTTTAATGAAATTCCTCCCCCACTTAATGCAAATGCTTCTCTCCTACTTTCTTCCTCTCCACATGTTTCTAATCCCCTTGCTGTATTACCTTATTGCCAGACTAGATTTTCAGTTGTCGAGGTTTTTTCCTCCTGCAACAAAAACAAGTTAATTAAAGTTAGTAAAATGTCACCTCTTTTTTTAATACAGTTTCATTCTTTGAATTAAAATACACTGTGTTGATCAGGAAAAAAAAAATTGCACAGCCACAATAATCTGAATACTAATTTGAACTTGAAAACAAAAGAAACCATCTGTTTACAAGGCAATTTTCTCTTGATAAACTAGGGATAAGTCTAAACAATAAAAGATATATGGGCTATACCCAAGTCAGATTTGTCTGTCCATGCAACAGAAACCCACCTTATAAACAGCTGCAAATTTATTCACAGATGATCCATTCTCTTCTTTAACACATATTGCTGGGCATACTCAATCTGTTTTCTGGGAGTAGAACAGACTGGCAATAAGCTGGCAAGATTTGAGCTGGCAATGGCTGACCTTCTCAGCATGGATAGAGACCCAGAGACCAACAGAATCTAAGGAATTCCTAAATGCTATGAGGGATTTTCCAGTCTCAATGGTTAGACATTCAGTTGAGGCCCTGATCAGTACAACCTGGTGCACTGATACAAACTGTTAGCTGATAGAGCACAAATGCTGCACATCTTGCAGTGAATTAAATCAGACATAGACCAGAGTGCACAATCAAACCTACAGTATCATATAGTACTGGTGTAGGTGGTAGAAAAAGGCTCACTTTTCCACCATCATTGCAGGGCTTGGCGGGGCGGGGGGTATCTGACCTGCCCAAGACCAGCCATGAGGAAGTCTTATTTGATTACTCAGTGGTGTATTGTGATATCTTTGCAATGTGTTTTGAGAATGAAGTCACTTACATCAGCTTTTAGACACAGTTCTTGTGGATATTATTGACTTGGGAGGGTACCATTTGATCAGAATGCATGGAATCTGTTTCAGTTATTTTGACTAGAAGTATATAAGACACCTCTGGGAGTTAGGCCAACTACCTGTATTCTAGACTCTAAAAACCAGCATAGACAGTCTGGGTGGGTCCATGGAAAGTCAGTAACCCTTTATAAGAAAGAGTTATGCCCACTGCAGTGTAACAGGCAGTATTTCTCTGGACTTTGATATTTTGGGCAACAAATGGCCAGTTGCAAATATTACAAATATTCCTTTCTTGGGGAAAGTGCTGTCCAATTAAAAGCATGGTAGGAAGAAACCAACTACATAAATTATTTCAGTTTGATTTCAGACCTGCATATAGCACAGAACCTTGGTTGCCTTGAATGATGACCATGAGAAAGAAATATTATTGAATCTTCTGAAACTCTCAGCAAGCAGCATACAGAGCCAATAACCATGTGGTATTGCTAAAGCAGTTCAGTGAATTGGAAATTGGGAGTTTTCAGTACAGTGGCTCCATTCCAAACAGTAGTGCTGGGAGATAGCTGTTTGGTCTGATGACATTTTACTTATGGGGCTTCACAACTGGGTTCTCCCCCGCCCCCCATTCACTATCTACATGAAGTTCTGGGGGATGTTTATCTGAAGATTTCAATGTCATCAGCGTAGCTCTATTTCTTCTTTTGAACTGAATCAGGGGAGACTGTACAGCTACCTAAGACTGTGGTGGATGAATAAGCACCAACAAACTAAAGCCAAAGTCAGATAACACAGAGATGCAGCAGAAAGATGCAGCTTAAACTTGGGGAATTAGCCTGTAGTTGACCAGACATCATTCCTTCTGAAAGTACTGATATCTTAGCTGGTACATCAGATACAGCCTTGTCTGGACCAAAACAGACAAGTTTCAGCAATCCATGCCCTAACAATGCTTCTATTGGATTACTGCAATCCATTCCATGCGGGGCAATCCCTGAAGACTATCTAGCAGCTGTGTTTGGTCCAGAACAAAGGTGACTATTTTGGGGGGGGGGGTTGTAATAATTTTATTAAAGTTTACAAATTCAAAGATAAAAGACTAATACAAACTAAGAGAAATATAAAAGTGAAGTAAAGAAAAAGAAAAGTGCAAAGACAGAAAAAAGAAAAAATTAAAAAAAATAAGGAGAAATATAAACATTGACTCCCCCTCCCTCCAGACAAGTATAAACAACTTCAGTAACTTAACCCCTTTCTCTTGTATTTCAATGATAAAAAAACTCTTCTTCTCATATCTCATCTCTTATCAATAAACAAATTGCAAAAAATCATCATTCAGTCCTATTCAGCAATTTTAGTCAGAAATAACATATATATTTTAACCTTAATCAAATCAACCCATTTTGTATTCCAACTTATCACTTTCTCTGAGGAACAAAGCAAAAGAAATCTCTCCCTATTTATAAACAAATCTTCAAGGTCTCGTCATTCAGTCCTGGCCAAGAAGAAATTCCATTAATAGCTACCAAAAACCACACATATACATTTTAACCCTGATCAAATAAATTCACTTTATAATTCTTTTGTTTACTTTTTAAAAGCTTGATCTTTAATCCTGTTAAGTAATATCCCACAAGTTAATTTCTTATAATTTTCTCTTTGTCTCATCTCAGGAACACCTTCAATAGTTCAACATGTCCCTTTTGTAAAACCAAGATAAGGAGGCTATCCAAGTCACTCTTCTGATTTATTATTTGTATATCCCCTTTAGTTCTTAAAACATCAGCCAGTTTCATCTGTAAATCAATTGTGGCATCTTTTTCCATATCACTCTTATAATCTATCATTTTTAAATCTGTTTCCAAACCCACATCATCCTTTTCCATATAATTCTTGTAGTATAGCATTTTTAAAAAATCCATTTTCAAATCCACATTCAAGTCAGGCTCAGTCTCTATTTTGTCCAGTAAAATCTGTTTCTCTTCTGTAGCCTCTGTTAGATCCATTTTTGTAGTAGCAGAAAATATTGAAAATAATTTCTGAGTACACTGTTCCCAGACAGCCTTAATTTTTTCTATAGTCAGATAATATTGCTCCATTGTATTAATAGATCTGTTCTCCTTTAATTGTAATCCTTGGTTCTCTCTGGTTTCGTCTAGTCAACCTTCAAAGTCCCCTCTTATTGTATGTTTATTTTCCAATCAGTGAAACTTTCTTACAGGAGAATTTCTTACAGTTAATTTCAAAATCTTCATATATACTTTTATAAAATTTTAAACAACCCTCAGGAAATATTCTTCCAAGTCCATCTGGCCCCTTAACTTTCCAAAATTCAACATTCTAGTCCCTCTTTTGCTTTTTGGAAGTGTCCGTTTGAAGGCACCAAGCCACAGCTTAGGCAGGATGATTTTCCCCCAGCTCCCAGAGCTCTCAAGCCCACTGAAGACAGCTATTTTGCAGTCTCTTCATGGGTGAGCCTCTATATGGAGCAAACTTGTGGGCAATCCTAGTCCTCTCCTTAATCTGAAAAGGGGTTCTGAGGAGCCAATCCATTCACCGGCTCCTCTTTCTGCCACAGCTGTTGGCTCTGTTCTCACAGAGCTGCCTTCAGCCTACCATTGCTTCCCCGGAAGTCGCAAAGTTGCCTATTTGTTATGTGGGGTAGCTATATGGGACCATAAAGCACTCTTTCTGTAAACACTGCACTGGTTGTCCTTGAGCCACCAGACCTAATTTAAGTTGTTTAACGTTAGTCTATAAAGCCCTAGGTGGCTTACGATCAGATATGCCTCAAATAACACCATAAGACTGATGTATTCAGATCAGGTTTGAAAAGCTCTGCTTCTGATCCCACTGACTGGTTTGGCTCATAGTGCAGAGGCCAGAAGTACAGCCTCCCCAGTGCGAGCATCCCAGTTACAGAATTCTCATCCAAGAGAAGTTCACTATCCTTTTCCAAGGAACAACTGAAACTGTTCACCTAGAAATGTATAGGACAAATAGTGCCTACCTGTTGCTATTTTGCTGATGTATGATTTTTAAAATAGACATTCTTTTTAATTGTTATTTTTTGTTAATAATTGTTGGTGTTACTGTCCTGTTTTTATTTAAGTCTATTTTCCCCTCCCCCCACCCCTATTTCATGTGTAATTTGCTCTGGTTACTCGAGAAAGAAAGACAGTATAAAATTAAATCCTATGTCAGTCCCAAGCTATGAAATGCATGCCCCTCAGGAATTGTATTTGGCTCCTGACTATCTCTGCCTTCAGAAGAACTATTGAAAAATATATTTTTGTCAAGTTTTTAATTATTAACTTTACATTATTTTTATTTTTATTTTTTCATTTTCTATTTTCTACTCTTTATTTTAACAATGTTAACAACTTGAGAGTATTTGAATAGGAAAGTGGGATATAAATCAAATAAAGAATAATGAAACCCCATATTCTAATTAACGTTATAAAATATATCAGCACTTGATAAACACTTGCATTCAAGAACTGGTAACAAAAGTCCAATTAAAGATGATAGGGCAGTTTAGAGCAGAAAGTAAATGAAAGGAAACCAGTTATATCCCTCTCCTAAAAACGAGCCTTCCCTTCCCAAGCACTTTTCTCCAATAGGTTTCCAGATGCGTATTAGTAAACATGTCTACAGTGCTACATGAAGATCAGAGGACGAGGTTAATTTCTTGGCAATTGCAGCAGCTGCACATTTGATAAATAAATAAAAAACAGAATGGGGAAATAGTAGATCTGATAAAGAATATGCCTTTCCCCCATATATCCTTTTCTTGTACATTGGCACCCCACTCAAAAGTTAGATTATGACATTGTAACTAATGTTGATGTGATGTTGCACACTTCCATAGAACACTGTATCAACTGGGTGTTCAGTAATATGCATTAGAACACCAGATACCGGCAAAGAATGCAGAGCTTTGTTAGTACTTTACCTTTCATGATTTACTATTTAATTCCTCATCATCTTAGCATTAAATTAGCTTTTACAGTCAAATATGACAACCTTGTTATCCCACTGAACTGCACAAGCCTAGAGTCCCATAAATAGCATTGAATTATCACGTAATTGGAATATAGAAGTGGACCTTCTTATTCATAACAGTTACATTCCAGCATATAACCACGGTTAGTAAAACCACAGATGAGGCACCAGGCCTTCGAGAATTGGGAGTTAGACCTGGAAAATGCCCAAAAAATTACCCCCTCAAAAATCATGAAAAATATAAGGAAAAAATTGAAATAAGGATAGTCTGTAAAAATTAGTGAATCAAAATATAGAAAGAGGGGAGTACTCCTCTACTTCCTCCTGCTCAGAGCTGTCAGTGTTGCTTCCTGATGATGCTTGTGGTGGGTGTGACTTAGTTGTGGTGGGTGTGATCAAAGTAGCAGATAATTATGCTTTGCCAGGTCTTGCTTTGCAGAACCTGTCCTTTCAGAGTTGAAAAGCAACTTCCAGCTGCCTACTGAACTTGATGCTGTCTTCCATTAATGAGTCAAATTCAAACACTTTATCTTCCATGGCACTTCCCAGCTGCAGGATCTTACCTTTTCTCTCAAAGGCAAGGTTTTGCACGAACATTTGCCACTTCTCTCAGCAGAGTTCTCTGCTATACACTTGCTCATTTTCACTATGGAATAATTAATGCGCAGGAAGAGAACAACAATATAAGGTCAAAACATTGTAGATCACTGGGAAATTGTGGGAATAGAGTCCAGATGTGTACCCTTCTGCACATGTATACAATGGTGGAGATCAGAACTGAGTGCCAAAAGCTGCAGACAGGCAAAACTATTTATCACAGATAATGAGTTCTGGTCTGTATTATCAATGGTAGATGTGTAAAACCACAGATAAGAAAGCCATGGATAATGAGGTCCAGGGGTACAGAATTTTCCTTTTACTGATAATCACGATGTATCAATATCCCTTCACTTCTGTCAACATGAATAATATGCACAATGAGCATTTGATCTGAGTTTTCTTTCCTGATGCACTTTTTCTTACTTTATTAGTTTCCAATCAAAACTGTATTTCTTAAAAAAATAATTTACTAGCAAAAAGAACAAAGATGGAGGAGTATGGCAAATAAAATAAGTCTTCTGTTGCTATTTTGTAAACACTAGTGTCTTAAATCGCAACAATACCATCCTTCAGTTCCTGGAAGTTGTACATGAAATATATCAAGGGTTCTTTCATCTCAAGTTTCTAAAGCCCATAAATCCAACCTCACATTTTCAGTGTAACTTTAATGAGAGAACATTTCCATTTACAGAGATATTGTTGAAAGAGTATTCCACATAAACAAATATGTTTTAAGTAAATCTGCAAAAGGGCAACCTTAATGAGGTTAGCCAAAATACTATTGCCATGATATCCAAGAAAAGTAGGGGGAAAAAAGCCCAGAATAATGAAATGTTTAAATCCTTCCAATATGTGTAACATATTTCATTTGAGGATTTCTAGCATATGCTCTTTACAATCTTGTTACAAGTTTCTTGAAGTGCTAGTAGTTATGTTGTTATCTGCTACAGGGTCAAATGAAATAAACATTTAAAGTTTTAGCAATGCATTTGGGGGGCTTATTATTATTTTAGAAAACACATGCTGCTTTCTCACTATTTGTGAATGATCATGGACTAAATCACAGCTGGGCTTTTAATTATCAAAGCTAAAAAACAGTTCAGATGAACTGGACCTAAATCCGCAAGCATGATTTTGAAATCTTTCCTTTTACAGGTTGCTAAATAAAATCAACATTTCTGTGATTTGTTCCAGCCAACAATATTATCTTTTAATAAATTCAAACCATATTTTTTTCATACAAATAACTGTTGTTTTGAGGCACAAACTATCTGTTTTTCTCTGGTGAGTAAAACTAGAAAATAAACATGGCAAATACAGGGACTGGAATGGGTGCATAACAGCAGACTTGTTATTCAGCACTGTGTGTTTTATTACACTCTCACCACTCTCCTGACTGGCTTACAAGGACCAAGTTTCACTTACTGCAATGAAAATTTCCAGTCATAACAAGAGAATAATAGCCTGTGAAATACTGTGTCTTACTAATGATCAAATCTTGAAAAGCAGCTGCTCATTTCTGATTAGGCAATGTCAGCAAGTAGGTTCAGTTCATCAGAGATGTTGAAGTATGTGTGCTTGCCTGTTACCAACCAAGAAACCTAAAAATACACACAGTTCTGGTGAGATGTACACTGCTCTTAGAAGGTTCAGACCACCTGATGTTATTGTACATACTACAATCAGCTGACTACAGCTGCCAAAGCATGTTTGGAAAGTCTGCTAGCACAAGTAGAATTCCAACTATAACAAACAACCCAATCACCAATGTTTGTATGAACAACAAAGATCATAATAATGACTTGAAATAGAAAGAACTCTAAATGCAATCTACCTCTTTGGGATCCAGTTACTTAGTGCAACAAATTTAAACTTGACAGTTGAATTTTAATTCCACTTCTGAGAATATTTTATCCATTTTATAAACATCAATTGTCATCTTCCTGCTAACCAGGTTAATTTAGGCTTCACACTGAACCACAGTGTGTTTTAACAGCAGCTCAGAACTCACACTGTTACCAGTAGGAGCCTCCAAGTAGATAAAAGAAAACAATTTACAGCCGATTATTTGATTTACTTCTTTTTGTATTCAGTTCCAAAACTTGATAAATTCTTCATAATGCCAGAAGCTCATAAGGCAACTCAATGACAAATTAAGCCAAAATTGGCATTTGGATGATCAAACTGACTTAAGTCAAGAATTGTTTGACTTTTGTCCATTTCTACAATTTTGTTCCTCCACTTACATAAATGGAAAAAGAAGAAGAACAGTTAGCTATATTGTCTCAGTACATCTGAATCAGGCTGTTAGTTTCTAAGACAATTTGAAGAAGCCAATTTTAATCTAAGGATTCAGATCCTGGTCTGATTGGAAACTTGCCAGGTTCACATGTCACAGTCAGGCACAAAAATGCATTAATGCTTAGTCACCACATGAATACATTAGCAAAATATTACACCAAAAGTATAAATATTATAATTAAAGGCTACATAAACTATTATGTGAACAGACTTTAAGTTGTGCAGAAGTGCTTCTACTTACTTTCTAGAACAAAGTTAAGAGATATATAGGAAGTATGGGTTGATCACTTTTGCCAATGATTTGTATTCTACTAGTGAAGAATTAGGACTGAATAAAACTCTTTATTTAAAGCTCAGATACTTTGGTCACCTAATGCGAAGAGAGGACTCTTTGGAAAAGACCCTGATGCTGGGAAAGATTGAAGGCAAAAGGAGAAGAGGACGGCAGGGGATGAGATGGTTAGATAGCATCACTGAAGCAATGAGCATGAAACTGAGCAAACGCGGGGTGGCAGTGAAGGACAGGAAGGCCTGGCGCAATATGGTTCATGGGGTCACGAAGAGTCGGACACGATTTAATGACTGAACAACAACAACAACAACAAAAACTCTTTTACAAAGTTTTTAGAGCATTCGAAAATAGGTGAGACCTGTGATTTCACAGATTTCCTTTAAATTAAGCAGTAGGATGAAGAATCTTATTCTCAATGTTGTTTTTCATAGTGAAATTGTGTGTTTCAGGGTATCACTAGACCAGAAAGATTTCTGTTTAACAAATATTCAGCCTTTACATTGTAATTCAGAAGGACAAGCTCAATAGCTTCCTAGATTACAGGAAGATATTAAGATTTAGAAGTGATTGCCATGTTATCCTAAAAACAATATAATTGCCTAATACCTTAGTATAACTAATTTGCCACTTGTTCATTACCAGCTGCTGTATTTTCTTCAATTTCAACAGAGAAATATCAGAAACAAAACTTAAAAAAATAAAGAAGCCCTACCTGAAAAAAATCTAGCACACGAGACTGAGGCAAACAGCCTCCTTTCACATGTAAGGCACTTGTTCACTTGAGCTCAGTGTCTCCAAATTTGCAGCAGACTCTGTGGGGAAAACATTGAAATTATTAAGAATTCTCTTTAAGAGTTCAGTTCAGCAGACAAATATATGAAATCCTATGAAGTCAAGAATATCCATTGGCAAGTTTCAGCCTTTCACTTCATCACAAATTCATAAGATAACACTTATTTAACTTTCATTTTGTTAACCTGTTAACTGGTTCTCTTTAATTGACCTATCTCATCTGTAATATTTACTCTGAGGGGTTTTAGCTTTGCATAATCTTTTTTTTATACCTCAACATTTTGACTACTTTCATGAGTAAGAAAGAAATATTCAGATCTAATACATGAACTGAGATAGCAAAGCTACTACACATTACTTTAAACTTTGCCAAATATACATTATCAAAAGATTCAATCTTTTCTGACAGAAGCAACTTTCAGAATCACAGGGACATTGAAGACATATTTTTATATACAATTTATCAATATCGTAAGCAATCAATGTTTAAAAACAAAATTTAATATGTAAATTTTAAATTATGTAAATTGATCCAAATGACAAAAATATCTGGACTCCTTCAGAAACAATAGTTTTTGCACATTAAATGTGGTGATGTCTAAAACAAAAATTGCCAACCCCATCTGAAATCCACTAAATTCATGTCTGTTAAATTGAGGGTTTACTTGTACATTTTACTAGAATTTTCCTTAATCTAATAACAAATCAGTTTTAAAAAACTATCTGTTTTGAGCTCAATATCAAAAACCTACATCAATCAATATTATAGTCCACCTCCATCAAGCAATATTTCTGATATGAAGCTCTGAGGGAAATGAAATGTAGACACATTTTAAAAAAACGCCTAAATAAAGGTGCAGGCTAAGCTGCTTCTCTGAAAATTAATGCTGAAAATTTAGATAAAGTGCTATAAAAATATAAGTTCTCTAATATGTTATTCCCTGAATATCTGAAAAACCTAATATATCATAATTATATAGATACTGCCTACATTTCAGTGACTAGACTTGCAGACAGTTTATTCTGTACTCAAAGATCCAGATGCTACGGCTCCAAACAGAAACAATCCATCTGGCTATTGAGACTGGAAATTATTAAATACTGAATTTTAAATTAGACAATATAACTTCATTATAACAAAATTAAATATTCTCAAATATCAATTGCTATAAGTTATATTACAACATTTGCACACTGAGAGTTTTCTAAACCAGAGTGCACAAGAAATGCTGCCCAGAAAAACCTGCACATAGCATCCATTGACGCTCTATGGGAGGGGAGGAGATGCATGCTTAATTTAGGAGCAATAGATTCCAGACACATATCCCTCTTCAAGCCAACAAAAAGCGTTGTCAATGCTCTGTTCATCCATGAACTTCTTATACACAATAATTTACCTGTCAGTGTATGCAGATGTTCTCTGAATCAGAACCATAATATATTTTTAAATAAAACAAAAACATATCTAAAAATCTTGTAAAACAGCTTCCAGAAACAAAGAGATGCAAATTCTTTAAGAAATGTATTTCTAAATTATTTACTTCTTATCAACCATGATCTGAAAGTACAACAAACACTTCTATGTTTCATGTCTAGCTACTCACTGACATGTTTTTCAGTGTGGTAATAGCTACTTAACCAGCAGGCACCAATATACCTCTTCGGTATCATAGCTAACCTAGCAGAAAATACACTGGATATGATATCACACATGAAATGATAGATTCGGGAGAAAAACTTTTAGGTATTATATCATATGGATGGCAACTAACCTTGAAAACAATGGAGCTTTTAAAAAAAATACAGTTGTGATTTTATTTATTTATTTATTTATATTTATATTTAGACACCACCCATCTCACGAGGAAGTGACTCTGGGCAGTTTACAATAAAAAGATTTAAAATCAGAATTAAGGCAATTGTACATAAACCTACTTAGAAATAAGCACTACTGATCTCAAGGGCTATTTCTGAGAAATCATGTATAAGTTTGTATTGTTCATGTTTTATATTTTTTTTAAAAATCATGCATTTCCCCATATATTCTCAGCAGGTGGCAGCACCTCTGGGCTTGGAAATGCAGCAGGATCAGGAATATCAAGGCTGTAGGCCGGATGGAGAAGTTAAAAAAAAAATCTCAGAAAAAAGCAATGTCAAACTACTTCTGTATTGCTTCCAAGAATATTACATGAACATGTCCATGAAATCACTAAGAATCACACTCTACCTGAAGATGATTTGGGCTTTTTATTTCATCCTATGATTTCTGAAGAACTTTCTGAAAAATTGCTTTATTGTGGAAGAAAATATGGAAGATCTTAAAGATAAAATAGCAGACAGCATTTATTTCAGCAGAACTATTTAAAAATAAAACATGGTTCCTACATGTCTTCCCCTCCCATGAAAAGGTTAACTTTTTTTGAGTTTCTTGGCTCACACAATAGTCCTTAGCCTACACTACTTTAATTCGGATCAAGAACTGTTCCAAATTTTATTTTCAAAGAAGTGTTAACCATCATGACTCAGCTAAAGTGTCAATACATTATTATTGTATGACACATTCATATCTGATCATGAATTGCTATTCAGTCTTTCAGTTTCACTAAAATCCAGAGTGAGGCATATTACATAAAATGCACTATATTCTTTCACTGCTAGAGTTTTTGACATGCCAATTTTACCAGACTTTGTACTGTTCCCTAAGATGCCAACCAGATGGTTAACTGCTTCCTGATAACTTGAGAAACACAGTAGTGCTTATTTTGTGACTTCAATTAAAACAACAGCTTTCCAAACTAGCTGCAATTCTTGACCATATTCTGTTTCCAGCTTTCACTTATTTTGAACAGAGAAAAAAGCAGCATCTTTTAAAATATTTGCTGCACATGCAAGACTACAGTGCTTCAGTAAGGGGCCATCCAGAGAACCATCCTTTCCACAGCTGTCCGTTCATCCTTACAAACAAATTAGGACTGGTACAACAACTTTCTCTCCAGTTAAACACACAAGCAAGGGTGCCTTTTTTTAAGACACAGGTTTTCCCTCACAGGGCAGTTTTCATCTAGAAGCTAATACAGAACAGGACTGCACTTTCAGTTACTTTGTTTTCCTATATATTTTGAACACCCATAAAAAAGGGCCTCCGACAAAATAATTTAACACTTTGCCTTGGAGGAAAGCGGGAGGAACAAGAGGAAAGAAAGAACCAGCGATGACTTGCAGCTGTTGTCCCGGCGCAGAGCACAAAAGAGCTTTCTTGGAGCAGCCGGAGTTGGGCGTGCCCGAGGTTGTGTGAATCTGCGCACCTTCCCATTATTAATGACTGATGTAGCAACGCGAACTCATCAGCCCTGGACGAAGAAGGAGACGGCCTATTCCTCTCTCCACCCCTCAGCCATTGTCTCCCGGGTAGAGGAAGAGCAGGGGGGCCGCCAAGGAAAGAAAGGCACCTCGCCGGACGCAGAGCGCCTTCGCCCATCCTTTCAAACCGGACCCTGCCAATACAGCAGAGCCCGAAGCCAGGCGAACGGCCCCACTGGCCCAGCAGACGCCGAACTCTGCTTATGTGCCACTACATAAAGGCACAAGCTGTCAATCAGGGATGGCCACCCCACTTCTCCTCGTCCAGGAGGCCGTGATCGTCCGCCCTAGGCAGGCCCGGGCCCCGCTCGCCTGGGCAAGTCCCCAACCGCAGGCAACAGCACGAACGGCAGCCCCGCTATTTATTTCTCGCTGGCTCGAGCAACC